TACTTTGCCAACCAATTAGCTTCCTATTTGCTTGACCATGGGATTATCCACCAAAGTACTTGTCCTCATACACCACAACAGAATGGGGTTGCTGAGAGGAAGAATAGGCACATATTGGAGGTGGCCAGAAGCATCATGTTTAACTCCAATGTGCCTATTCGTTTATGGGGAGATGCTATTCTTACAGCAGTGTATCTCATTAACCAAGTTCCTTCACGGGTTCTTGACATGAAGCCTCCATTTACCCTCCTATACCTTGATAAAGACTTGTTTATTATTCCCCTTAAAACCTTTGGTTGTACTTGCTTTATTCTTGGACCTCATCGTTCCAAATTTGATCCTAAGGCCTCCAAATGTATTTTTCTCGGTTATACACAAACTCAAAAAGGATATTGCTGCTATGAACCCACTTCTGGGAAAAGATTTGTCTCTATGGATGTTACTTTCTTCGAGGATGTACCCTATTATCCTAGGGTTTCTCCTTAGGGGGAGAATAGTGAGTGTGGGGTTAACTCATCAGAAGTTCCTTTACCTATTCCATTGAGTGATGAGGGGTGTAATGGGGAGGGGTGTCAGAGGTGCCAGGATTTGAGAGTTTATCACAGGCGGTGGAGGCAGGTTGATTTCGGTCATCAGCAGTCTAGGTCAGCCCTAGTTCCTTCTACGGATCCAGATCCAGGTACTACAGTTCTGTTATCGGATTTGGGTTCCACTAAGATACCTTCCACTGTTGAGCCCTTACCTCCTTTGGATGACCTTGACCTCCCCATTGCAGTCCGTAAAGGCAAACGGTGTTGCACTACATCCACAACCCACTGCATTTCCCAATTCTTGTCCTATGATCACTTGTCCCCCTCTTACAGGTCCTTCCTCACATCTATTGCTGGTATTCCTATCCCCAGAACAATGCAGGAGTCCTTGTCAGTTCCTGAGTGGAAAGATGCAATGAAGGTTGAAATGGATGCTCTTCTGAGGAATAATACTTGAGAGCTAGTTGACTACCCTAAAGGGAAGAAACCGGTTGGATGTAGATGGGTATTTACTGTGAAACATAATGCTGATGGTACCATTGAAAGGTATAAGGCTCAGTTAGTTGCAAAAGGATTTACTCAGACTTATGGTATAGACTACTTGGAGACTTTTGCTCCGGTAGCAAAGATGACCACTATTAGAGTTTTATTGTCCCTTGCAACCAGTTACTCTTGGCCCTTGTTCCAGATGGATGTCAAAAATGCCTTCCTCAATGGAGACTTGCAAGAAGAAGTCTACATGTAGTTGCCTCCTGGATTTTATGATGCAAACACAGGAAAGAAGGTTTGTCGATTGAATAAAGCTTTGTATGGACTAAAACAGTCCACCAGAGCTTGGTTTGATAGATTTAGACAAGCCCTTGAAAGGTTCGGCTATGTACAGGCCCAGTCAGACCATACATTGTTCATTAAGAGAGTGGACTCTTCCTTGACCTTGCTTGTTGTATATGTGGATGATATTGTAGTGACAGGGAATGATAATGGTGAGATTGAGTCTCTCAAACAACTCTGTCATCACGAATTTGAGGTAAAAGATCTGGGAGAGCTACGATACTTCTTGGGTATTGAGGTAGCTAGATCTAAACATGGGATTTTTGTTTCCCAAAAAAAGTATGTTCTAGATTTGTTGGAAGAAACTGGAAAGTTAGGTGTTAAGCCTGCAGATACACCTATTGAACAGAATCACAAGATCAGTGCAGAGGGTGGAGAGCCACTTGAAGATAAAGCTATGTTCCAGCGGTTAGTTGGAAAACTCCTCTATCTTTGTTTCACACGACTAGGCATCAGTTATGCGGTCAGCGTTATCAGTCAGTATATGCATTCTCCTAGGACTACTCACTTACTCGCAGTTGAGAGGATATTAGCATATTTGAAGAGATGCCCAGGTAGAGGTATACTATTCAAGAATAATAATCACATGAAGATAGAGGTTTAAACAGATTCTAATTGGGCTGGGAGTATTGATGATAGAAGGTCTACCTCTGGATATTGTGCTTTTGTAGGGGGTAACCTAGTCTCCTGGAGGAGTAAGAAGCAAAGTGTTGTTTCTCGTTCTAGTGCAGAAGCTGAATACAGGTCCATGGCTAATAGTGTGGCTGAAATCCTATGGTTGAAATCACTATTTGAGGAGTTGGGTATTGCTTATGAGAAGCCCTTAATGCTGTATTGTGATAATCAGGCTACTATTAATATAGCTCATAATCCGGTACAGCATTTCAGAACTAAGCATATTGAGGTAGACCGACATTTTTTCAGAGAAAGGGTTTCATCTCAAGAAGTGTGTCTTCCGTATATCACCTCCAGCATGCAGCTTGCAGATCTTCTCATCAAGGTTGTTCCAAGGAAGAAGTTAGAGGCAGATCTATGCAAGTTGGGAATGACAAATATCTATTCCCAACTTGAGGGGGAGTGTAAAGAACACTGATGCGGTCCCCACAGTGTTCGTATGACAGCAATATTTCTGTTAGATATGATAGTGTTAGTTGGTAGTTATTTCAGTTGGTTATTTCAGCTTTATTATTAGTTATTTCTTATTCTATTTGCCATGTAAGCAATAAGGGCAATTCAGCCCTTTTACAGTTAGCCAATAGTTATAAATACTAAGAGAGGGTCGGCAGAAATTATGACCTACTCTCTCTCTTTTCTGAAACTCTTTTCGTATACTTCTTTTTTTCCTCTCTTCCCTTCTTCTTCTCTTCAATTTTTCATCCTTTTCTCTTTTTAATTCAAGATTGATTGTAGTCTAGATCGACTACTTATTGTATCAGGAAACTTGGATACAGATACAGATACAGATACATTTTGGATACACATGGATACAGTGGAAAGGAAATGGATATGCTTGGATATGTTGGGGAAACTCTTACAAATCCCACAAATATATCAATAACACGAAATCTAAGGTTGAAATAACTATGAATAAGGTATAAATTATAAACATATAAGAAATGCACACTTCAATAGTTTATATGAAGAAATGCATAACAATCAACAATGCCAGGAGTCAACAGCAAGAGGCCATTCCATCCGTGCCACGTGCCCATGCCTTCAGATACTGATATGATATGCCTGTATTGGGTTCATTGTGTTGATATTGTGTGTTAGGGCCCAGAATTTAAGGCAAAATCTTAATGAGTGGGAAGCCTTGGATTTCATGAGCAAGCTAGGAATGCTGCAGCAATATCAAATTGATCCTTCCCTGCAGGACAGAATGTGTTGGATACTAGAAGCCTTGGATAAATTTACTGTCGGATCATTCTTCAGATTCTTGACTCCCAGTAATGAAGAAGTAATTCTTTGGTCTTGGATCTGGAAAGCCAAATGGCCATCAAAGGTGAAATTCTTCTTGTGGTCTGCAATGTCAATCAAATCCCCACAATAGATCACCTAGAAAGCAGGGGTATGACCACTATTAATCAATGTGCTATGTAGCTCATCTATTGGTAATGGTGCCCAGCTACAAGCTACCTATTGTAAATGGTGCCACTTTTTTTTGATAAATTATGTGGTGGAACTTTTTGCAGTTGTTCAAGGTGGTCATGGTGTTTCCAAGGGATCTGGCTTCACTGATTGCCAATACTTTAAGACTTAAGACAGTTAGACCAGACCGGATAGTTAGACCATTCAACCCAGGAACCGGAAGGAATTCTAATTTTAGTTTTTATTTTTCTGATAAACCAGAAGAACCAATCAAAACCTGGTGAAAACGTTGGAAACTGAACGGGTTTCAATGACCCAGCTGGTTTTCTACAACCCCCAGGTCACTATATCATTATAAACTTTAAACTACAAGTAGAATGATTTTAACTCAAGACCTCTTAATTACATGTGTTAGCATGTAACCATTAGTCCATCATGTTTCTTTTGGGCTAATTTATGTATCTTTAATGTATATATTGATTAAATGCATATATTTTGAATAAAAGGCAAGTAATAAGACTTGAACCCTAGTCATTTATATCAAAAAGTGACACCTTAACCATCTAACCACCATTTATGCTTACACTATAAATTACAAAATCTATTAAATAGTATTTACATGACTCGTGGTAAAACATTGCTGATTTCATCCTAGCCCTCTAAGATGTTTAGCAGCAGGGGCAAGGTGCTATGGCACATGATTCCTGGTGCCCTATGTTGGGCCATGTGGTTGGAACATGACAACTTAATCTTCAATCAATGAGATTTAGAGATTGAGAGATATCAGGAAGATCTAGATGTGCATACTTTAATTGGCCAGTGTCCTGAAAGAGTTCACAGGCAAGAAAAAGGAGCAGTTCACAAATAAATGGGAGAGAATTCTTTTTGTTGATTTTTTAAATGAGAAAACAGTAGATACATCTTAAACAGTCAGTATACTTTTTGTATGCTTCTGAATGTTGGTATAGACTGGAGGTATTCCTTTTGTAATCAGCTTTGAGAGAACCTCTCCCTCCTTGTGAGTACTACAATATAACATATTTATCAAAAAAAAAAAAAAAGATTATTGTTGTTACTCACAACATTGTTTACTTTGAGACCATATTTTCTACGAAGTAGTATCAATTTAAACACACTTTTTTTTTGTACAACAAATGAGACTTTAGCTTTAACAACTTAAGGCTTAAGGCTTATGAGATGTATGCCACTATGCCTCTTGCTGCTTGAGGCCTAAGCCTTGTAGAAGGTATGTAAAGTTATTGAGCTAAGAGGGTTCAGGTAAATCTCACAGCTTTTTAAAACCATTCCATTAAAAAGATCATTACCCAATGTTTGGTCCTAGTTATCTGGGGTCCTGGGGGTGGTGGATGAGATATAGACCTAACCTTCAGCTTTTTTCTTTTTTTCACAAAGTGGCTCCTCTTAAACTCAAACAACCTTTTGAAACTATGCGAATGAAGCAAAAAAGTTAAATAAGAGATACAAAAGAAGACGGAATTTTATGTTATTCAAAGAAACAAAAGAATCTTATACGCACACATATTCACATACCCATCTTTTGGCTTAAGCAAATCAAGGGTAAAATGCTTTATGGTGTTGTAAGTTGGACCTCCCCATGGCGGTGAAAGAAACACCATGTCTCCCTAATGAAATGAAAACAGAACACAATAGACAATAAGAGGAGAGTTCTTTACTAAAGATAGCAACCTTTCCACACACACCAACTTGAAATATATACTTTCAACATGCCATTATCAACTTGGTACAAAGGTATAACTCTATTAGCCTACATGTCAAAGATTCAAAAGTAAATAAGATATTAATGGTAACATTGCAAGTTTGCTTTTAATATTATTAATGAATACATCCAGAATAAACAACAAAAGTAATGCTCATTTATGATGGTAACCAGATCACAACCATGAATAATGTTTTGTGCCTCCAAAAAATTATTACCCCATAATGCAATAACTAGAAAGAATAAATCCTGAATGCAAACACAACCTGAGTTGGACAAAGTGGAACACATTCATGGAACTCAAGATTTCGGAAAACATATAAACTGAAAGGAAGAAACCTTGGGGAAGAGGTAGAAAGTTTCTCTGAAGATCTTAAGTTAGGTTGCTTTAACGGCTAGCTTGCATTCATCTATTTGAGCATCTCAATTAGTAGAAAAGACAATTCTACATTTATATGAAACCCGGTAGTGCGAATTGGGAAGAAAGGAGAAACACTCAGAAAACTGGTAAATAGGCATCTCTTGCTTGCTTTTTTGGGACCGGTAGCAAAAAACATTATTAAGCAAGATAGTGCTGACTGAATATCATTGGCTAGTCTTCCTATCTAGTTTATATCTTTGTTCGCGAGTCAGATTTTGGTATTTAAAAGGACAGAAAAATGGAGGAGAAAATTAAAATGAAAGGGAAGGTGAAAAATGATTAAAGTGCACTTGAATGGAAATAGCTACAGATGATTAAAGTCCTCTTTTCTTCTTGTTGAAATGTTTGCCCGTAAGGGGCATTTTTGTATTTTTGCATATTCTAATGAAGAGAATAACAGTGCAAGTCAATAGGTTGAAGAAGAGTGGTTCGTATCTTCTTCCTAGAGACCTTTTTTCTTTCTCTTTTCACTTTCTTCTTGTTTTCTGCTGTGTAAGAAAGATCTCCCTACCTTTTTCCCTCCTTTTTCTCCTCTTTTTCCTTTTTATTCTCTAGTTGTAATATGGTACCAGAGCATTGAACTCGTTGTTTACTGTCCAGACCTCCTTTTTGCGCCTTAGGAGTTGAGAACTCTTTTTAGAGACAAGCATGTAAAGGGACTTAAAAGGACTGACCATCCCTTAGGAAAAGAGGCTTTAGTGCCTTGAGTTGCTCGGTTTAAGGTGTTTGCAATGGTGTACTAAGCTCCCCCTTGCTGCAGCCCTAGGCGTGAGTACAGGTATGTGTATTGAGTGCTGCTTTGTGACAGTGTGTGGTGTTTAGTTTTGGTGTGTGAACTCACTTCCTATGGTCTGTGGAGTTTTTGGTACTCTACAAGTGTTGTGTGAGCCTTTTTGTTGACTTCTAGGGCTGCAAACTACTGTAGCAAGGTAATGTAGCACCCCTTTTGGGCTTAAAGTTGCTGTGGCGTGCTTTTACATCTTATGGTTGGTGATTATTGTTGTTAATCCCTGCTGTTTGGTATCTCCATATCCTCAACTCATCTGGCTAGATATGACCCTTCTACAACCAGTCTTAGTCGAAAATTTCACCAGCAAATCAAAGGGACAGGGAAGTAGGAACAAGGTGGATCTCTTAAACTTCGATTAAAATACAAACAACAATTATATTTCTCCAAGAAATTGTTCTACGATCAATAAATTTGAATCTTCCACAAGCATCTCCTATGGCCTTAAAGGTTTGGAAACTCCATGCATGCAAGGGGATCCTGAACACAGTAATCCACACCATGTTTAAAGGACCCAAATCCCTAATTGCTCCAACTAATGGATTCCATCTCCCGATTCTGAAAACTTATTCTGTTTTCTCACCAGGATGTTGCTTGCTAGCTCCTTGCTTTTGAAAGTCAAAAAGAAACCAGCATTCAGCCTTCTCAGCCGAAAAGGTTTCCCATGTCGCCACTCAGCAGCAGCCCACTCTTCAATCTTCCCCACATCTAGGTCGGAATTTACGAAACGACCAACCAAGCTACTATCCAAGAGTTTGAGTCAATCTCTAACTTCTCCATCCTGATTCACTATCACTTCATCTTCACCAGATCATCCCTAGAATGAGCTACGTTGCCGCACTTAGAGCACTAGGGCTTAGTTTCCTTTATTTTTTCCAAATACAGAAAAGAACCAACCCCAACATGCCAATCCCAGAATGATCATTCAATCACTTCAGAGAAGTCTGCCTTAGTAGCAACCAAAGGTGGTGGCAGTAGAGGTATCAAGGGGAGAGATGCAGTTAGAGGTGTCAGTTGTGGTTTTAGAGGTGGTTGTGGTGGAAGTAAGGAAGGAAGAGGTAGTGGAAGAAACAGTGATTAGGGATGGCAATTTTTCCCATTTCCCTGACCCCCACAGGGACCCACCACGGATGAGGCAGGGATGGGGAAATTTTCATCCCTGTTGGTGGGGCCAGGGCAGGGACAGGGAGAGCACTCCCCGCCCTACAGGGCCCCTGATCTGTTAGTTATTTTTGCTGTTATAGTCTTTTATGCTGTTAGTCTTAGGGTGCTGTCAGCTTGTTTATTGCCTTTTATTATTGTTTTTTATTAGGGTGTGCAGCTGGGGGCAAGCATGTAATTTTCCTCTTATTTTTAATATCATTAATATAAATAGAAAGCTGGGCGCCGCCAGCTAGAAGTTTTGGCTCCCAAACAGCCTTTCTCTCTTCTTCTCTTCTCTTCCTTCTTCTCTCTTCTTCTCTTCTATTCCTTCTTCTCTCTTCTTCTTCCCTTCTCTTCTTCCTAGAAGAAAACATGGTATCAGAGCATACTTCTGGGCAATAGGAGGATTCTTTTCTCTCAGAATTACATCTCTTCTCATCAGATTTTTTGATTTCTTGAACTGTGAGGTCAAAGAACCCAATCGAACTGGTCGGAAATATCAGATTGTGTTTTCTCTGGGTTCTTCCTTGGTTGTAACACCAAGGAAACACTAGTTGGTGACAGCCGATGCTGTGAAGGCTGTGTTTCTAGTTATGTTCATCTTCGTACAGGTGCTGTACAGGGGGTTGTGTGCTCCCTTGTGACAGGTATGTGTTGTCCTTCTTTAGTGTGTGCCTTGTGTGGCCTAGTGGTGATTGAAGACTGAATTTTTTTTGGGTCTGTTAGTTGCTGGTAGTGGTGTTCCATTCTAGGAGGAAGATTGGTGTGTGTTTTGTGCCCTACTTTTGAGTTGGGTAGTAGAAATAGGATGGAGACTTATTTCTGTGTACATCAGTGGTTCTTTTTGACTTGTAGAACCTGCTTAATATGGTAACCGATGATTTAGCTTCCTCTGGGGTTACATCAACCTGTGGTACAGTTGTTACAGCTAGGGGAAAGGCTGAATACATAAATGGGAGAGTGAAAGAACTTAAAAGTGGGACAGCTGAACATGATATGTGGGATCAAGAGAACAATATGGTGATGTCTTGGCTTCTTGCAGCCATGGAACCAGGTGTTAACTATAAAGAAGAATTTTATATGGGCAGACTGCAAATGAAATATGGAAGGAGTTGGATATTAGTCAGTTACAGGCTAAGTTCTCAACTTGTAAACAAGGTGACCGCAGTTTGTCAGCATATTATTCAGCTCTTACCTCTGTTTGGAAGAAGTTGGATCACTATCAAATTGTAGAATGGAAGAATGATGACGATGATGCCAAAGCTTATAAGAAGTTGGTATCTCAGCAGCAAATCTTTGCTTTCCTGTTGAGAATGAATCCTGTATGAGCCTCTAAGAGTTCAGATTTTAGGAAATCGTGAATTGCCCTCAGTTCAAAAGGTGTATGCCTTGGTCCAATCTAAGGAAAGTAGACGGAGTGTAATGGTTGCAAGTGAGGGGGAGCAGTAGGTTGCATTAGCTGCAAGCCTGCAACAGGTGGTACTAATGTGGGAAAGAAAAGTGATGCCAAGAAAGCTGATGACAAGGACAAGTTGTGGTGTACTCACTGTCGGCATTCAAGATATACTCGTGACACATGCTAGGAGCTCTTTGGGAAACCGAAGTGGACTGTGAAAAAGGAAGAGCAAGGCAAGGTAAAGGGTCAGAAGAAGTATAATGCAGCAAATATGGCAACTCAAAATTCTCAGTCTATTGGTACCCCTGGTGCTACATAGGAACATTCCACGAGTTCTAACCCTAAGGAGGATACCATGAACTCATTCCGTAATCATCTGGAATTGTATGGTAGGGCTTTACGTTAAATGGACAACTCAGTTACTAGTACCCCTTCTACTTCACTTGCACCTACATCAGGTAATGTGGCCTCTACCTTCCATGTTTCCACTGCCACTGATTCCCCCTGGATGTTTGATTCAGGGGCTTCTAACCACATAACCGGTAAGCCAAATCTTTTCTAGTCATATAGCCTATTGTCCGAGAGAGATAAGGTGAGGCTTGCAAATGGATCATTCTCATCCATTCCAGGCCAGGGATCAATATCTCTTCCCCATGGCCTCAACCTTAATAATGTGTTGCATGTACCTAAACTTCCTATCAATTTGCTTTCCATTAGTAGTATAACAAATTCTTTAAATTGTAGTGTAACCTTTTTTCCTAGTTCATGTATTTTTCAAGATCTAACTTCTGGGAGGACGATTGGTAGAGGAAGCTTAGTAGATGGTCTCTATAATCTCGACAATAAGGCTGGTTTCTCGGTGTCATCTTCAGTTGGATCATCTTCAAAGTCACATAGTTAGTTGGGTCAGTCCAATAAGAGTCAAGTTTTTTTGTGGCATAATCGTCTAGGTCATGTGTCCTTTGAAATATTTAAGTGTTTGTTTCCGTTTTTATTTGTCATGTTCGATGTTAGAGTTTCAGTGTCAAACGTATCGATTAAGCAAACAATGTAGAACAACTTTTCATTGAGGGTGGATATAAATACTTTATCACATTGATTGATGACTTTTCTCGTTATACATGAGTATTTCCTATGCGTACCAGAGACAAAGTCCCA